ATGGACAAGGTTATAAAAAGAAAGTGACAGGTTATTGCCATTTATTGATGGATATCTAAAACTGGTACTTATATACAGAGAAAATATGAATGTACTTGAACAACATTGTGCAGTAATATAGATGATTGTCCTAATTTGTATTATTGTACAGATTCACAGCCAGGGATAAGTCAGTGCTGCGAGAACTGGGGATAACTCACATTCTAAATGCTGCCTCTGGAAAATACAGGATCAACACTGGACCTGAATTCTACAAAGACCTCCATATCGATTACTATGGGGTAGAAGCAGATGATGATGCAAATTTTGACTTGAGTGTCTATTTCCACCCAGCTGCACAGTTCATAAGAACAGGGCTGCAATCTAACAAGGGTAAGATTTGTCATAAAATGATCTGTGACTTAGCTACGAACTTATTAAGGATTGCTGAGCACCAGTCTTTGGACAGCTGAAAATAATCTTTTTGTTTGTAGTCTTTTTCCTGTGTCTATCATTATGTACTACTTGAACAAGAATGGTGTGAAATGTCCATTCCTTGCACCATAACCATTACAGAATGCTGTAGTTGTTATGGTGCTTGGAATGTTTCTTAAACTGGTGTGAAATGATATCTTAATTAGTTATTCTTGTTCAAGTAGTGGATTTGGGGTTTTCATGAGCTGTAAGCCATAATCATCGCAATTATGACAAATCACGGCTTGAACTATCTTGCTTTGCATGTAATGAGTCTATCTCATATATTAGTTTCCCCTTTTATGTTGCATTACTGAAATAAAGTAACTTTTGCACGATATTCAAATTTTTCGAGTATCACCTGTACAATATGTAGCTAAAACACAAATATAAAAAAGTCCAAATTCTACATATTATATTTGTGTTTTTGCTACACATTGTATTATCTCTTGCTATAGGATTTTGGCGCAGCCCTTATTTCTTCTTGTTTTTTAATCATTCTTTCTGTATTTTAAAAGGGATTTGAGGGAATTTTAGGGTTTCTGCCCATTTGTTAATTAGCGCTTACTCTTTTCTCCTGTTGTATGTATATATATATATATATACATATATATATATATATATATATAACTGATGATGTACATTGTGAGGTGGTAAGTACATTTTAGGCCTGGCTGGTAGCTCAGGACATTACATTTTAAGCCTTGGTCTAACCTAAGTATCTTTTTTTAATTTTTTATTTTTGTTGTGAATAGGAATTACAGCAGTGCTTGTGTAGCCACAGTAGCTTTCACAAGCGCGGTTTTCATTGGATGTAACATAAACTCGCCTTGTGTCCATGGAGCCTCCCAGACACGGTGGTTGGCTCAGGGGCCCGTGGGTTCTCCCTGTCCCGGGTGTCCCCACGGGTGTATGGACGGCATGGGGTAAACCCCTGATGGGCTCACAGCCCAGAAGGATGTCGGGTAGTCAGGACAGCAGCTTTGTATGCCCTTTTGATGGGAGATGCTGGTTTGGGTTTTGATTTGGGTTTACAGGCTTACTTCTGCTCTTGCGCTGGTAGGCCCATGTTGCTCTGTTTGGGTTGTGGCTCGGCGGCCCTCTTGGTAGAGCCATGCTTGTTGCTTTTATGATTCTTGCTTATCTGTGGTGAGGCTGTCGGTTTCATTTTGGCCTCCAGCTTGCACCAGAAATTGTCGAAGATTGCTTCTAGTCTTTGCTGGGTCCAATGCTGTGGGTCTGTAGGCTCGGGGGAACGCGTGGCGTCCGCCATGTTGGGTGCAGCGTCGTGTTGCATACTTCCCCCTCTGCTCCCGTTCCAGTCTCAATTTGTCTCTCAGGTGTGGACCACGATCACCCCCGACGGTCCAGAGGGGGGAGTAACGGGGTTCCTGCTTGCGCTATGTCAGCATCTCGAGGCACCGGACCGGGGGATCGGCCGCCTCTCCCGCTCTACGGTCGCCAGGCCTCATGGCGCAAGTCGGTCTGCCAGCCGGCCTCAGAGTGAGTGCCCTTTCGTGAGTCAGGTGAGACTATTTGGGTTGCCATTTTTTAAGTTTCTAGGGCTGAAAAGTCGTATTTCCTATTTCCTGAGGAGCTCTGCAGTGGCACATTTATCTTCTGTGGTGGTCAGGCCCGCCGCCCTTTTGCCAATATTTTAATGATAATAAAATAAAATATGAAATAAATATACCCACTTATAATTTCCAGAATCTTCAATTTCAAATATTACACATGCAGCTGTTTGTATCACAATTGTGTCTCCAATAATGGTTTTGTTAATACTATGAATTCATTATTTATGTGATGAAGAAGAGGTTAAGTAACGTAGGGAGTCAACTGCATATATAAAGTCACGCACTGAAAACTGACCTGGGACTTCACCTGTCTGCATAGAGACATACTGTGTTTTGTTTCATTCTGATATGCTATTAATATTACCTAGTTTAATAGCCAGTTGAAACATGTTAAATAAACAACATGGTGTATGGGGCACAGAGCCAAGATCTGTTAAATAAAAGTGACCTTGACAGATATGTCCCTGCAGATCACTCTATGCAGTATGTATAAGTTGTAACTGGGAACCAATAAAATTGCTACTTAAGAAAAATCTGAATTTCTGGCCAAAGATGACTGCTATGAAGTTTGGACCGTTATGCCTGCGTATGGTCATTTGCAGGTTGAGCTGGGAATTCTGGGAAAATTATGGAAACATTAAAGAAATACTTCACCCAAAGTTACCTTTTGCCCAAGACTCCACTTGAAATAAGAAGATGATGCACAACAGTTAATTTATACCTAGTCTTTACTCCACTATAGTGAAGAAATTAAGGTGTTAATTACAATCTTTTCTTTTTTTATAATTATCAATAATGGCGGATGATGAGCTATTATCAGTATTGACACAATCACAATCTCATCACTACAATACCTTTCAACAACTCTTTTATCCTTACTGATTCAGTGTAAAGGGCCCTATATTTTTACATTTTCTGTTTGTTTAGCTCAGTGGAGCTAAACTCAAGAGGAAGACAAAGACTTCTCATTGTACTGCACCAGGAAGTCTGTGATTGGACAGCCCTGGAGAAGAAGAGGAGGGCTTGCAAATGAAGCAGACAAGGGATCTGCAGCTTTTGCAAGATGTTTTTATATATACCTCTAATCAAAAGAAATGCATGATTAAATGCAGGCACGTCTTCATTGGGGTTATCTACTACAAAGTTATTTTTACTTCTTTATTTGTATTTGAGCAGAGGAGGGTCCCTTCAAGCAATCACAATCCTTCCAAATAAACGTTACTAATAAATAAAAAAAAATCTAACATTTAAAGAATTGAGTACCAACAATCATTTAGTAATCAATTTAAAATCTGACATGAAACCAAGAATTAGAGGATGTATTTATACTTTACCTATATCCCAGCAACAGTCACATTAGAAGACTGTGGGGTGTTTTCTGTATACTTAGCCTGTGTGTAGAGCGAGTGACAATACAATTAGCTCTTAATAAGCTCCATCATGTTGTCTCTTCCTTATCATTACAGGGAAGGTGCTTGTGCACTGTGCAATGGGGATTAGCCGAGCTGCTTCCATTGTCCTGGCTTTCCTAATGATATCAGAGGGTCTTACTCTGGTCGATGCTCTTAGAACTGTAGGTGAACACCGAGATATCTTCCCCAACCATGGCTTCCTTGAACAACTTCGACAGCTCGATATTAAATTGGAGAACAAGAAAGGATCTCGGATATAAGACTTAATAATCAAACCGTGCCAACCAGCAACGGGAACTTTTTATCCAAAACCATGGACAATTTGGCAGAAAAACACATAAGATTTGCTTCTTGAGTGTTAGACTGAATTAAAAAGGGTCAAACAGCTAATATATCAGTTTCACGTTTTTTGCAGACTTTAAATGATAACTACATAAAAGCCGGCATATTTTTTCAGAGTGTCAGCAGTAATATTTTAAGAGCTATGGATGGTTTCTGAGGTTTGTCAAGTCTTGAAATATACACACACATACAATAACAATAAAGAACTTTATTGAAGATTTTTTTTTAAAATAAATTCACCTCGTCAACACTGGTGAGTGCTCCATGTTTTATATTTAAGATTTGTTGTATGTCTTCGGGTGGCACATTAACCAAGTTACTTTGAAATTGGATAAAGAAGAGTATCTGTATTTTGTGCAGGAAAACAGACATACATGTACAGATGGCACTTTCACTTTCATGACATAGAGTGGACAAAGTTGTGGATATTGTCAGGATGAAACATAGGCCCAACACGCAAAATTAAGTCAAACATAGAAAAATAGCAAACAGTAAAAGACGTATTACTAGGCCTTAGAATTGCTGTTTTTAACATATAAGAATAACCAGAAACGAGACGAAGTCAGGAATACAGAAAGGAACGAATACGGAACGAACAAAGTCAAAGGGTCAGGGATACCAGAAATACGGAAAGTCAAGCCAAGATCAATAACCAAATATACCATAAACAGGAATGTGCTCTCAGTGCCGGTGCAAGGATTTTTGCCGCCCTAGGCAAAAGAATAATTTGCTGCTCCCCCCGCCCCCATATATGCTCAGCCCACCATGTGACATCACAATGCCCCACCCATAAGATCTGTCATATAAACCAACGCCAGTGCTGCACACAGTGTGTGTTTACATTAAAAAGCCTGCAGGGACAGGCTATAGACACCAGAACCACTACATTAAGCTGCAGTGGTTCTGGGGACAATAGTGTCCCTTTAATGTGAGGTAAATTAGAAATTAGTGTCACTAATATACTAGATTGCCTGCTTACAACTAGATGAGGATGATGATGGGCTCTGGCTGCAGTCTGGCTCTACTGGTCTGGTGTAGAACAGGCTCTCTGGAGGCTGTTTGTAACTGTGGTCACAAAAATCAATGTTCTGGCAGAACGGGAAGCAGCTCCATTTTTTGGGGCCCTTTACACAGCTCAAGGTCTGGGCCCCATGGTCTGACGGTGAGTATGCCCATAAGGCCCACCCATAGAGGATCTAATGTGTGTGCTTATGGAATGTAGAGTATAGGGATACCAGTTTGTGTAGGCGATGCAGTGTGTGTGTGTGTAGTGGATGCAGTGTGTTTTTGTGTAAAGGATAGGAGGCAGTGTGTGTTTGTGTGACTCTGTGCTTGTATGTGTAACGGATGCAAGGTGTGTTTATGTGTATGTAATGATGTAAGGGATGCAGTGTGTGTGTGTCTGTAAGGGGTGCATTTATTGTCTCTAAGGGGTGAATTGAGTGTGTCCAAGAGAAGCAGTGTGTGTGTGTGTGTGTGTGAAGGGATGCATTGTGTGTTTCTGTGTATGTATAGGGATGCATTGTGTGTGTGTGTGTGTGCATTGTGAAAGATAGTTTGTGGGGTAGGATAGGGGCTGGGAGGGGAGCAGAAAAAATAGAATTTTTTGTTTTGCGTCTTACATCCCCCATTAGTGTATCTCTTGCATGTCCCTTGTTTGTCTCTTATGCCCCCTCTTTGTATGTCTCCTACATCCTCCCAACTTCTTTGTGTGTCTCCCTCCCGAGCCTCTCTGTGTGTCTTTTTCTCCCCTACCAGCACTTTTGTGCTTCTCTTTCCCCTCTTCCTTAGCCTCTCTATGTGTCTTCCCCTCCCCTGTCCCTTAATAATCTCTTTCACTCCTACCCGTCCCTTGGTGGTCTCCTCTCCTCCCCCTGTAGGTTAGAGCTCTCCCCTCCTGTCCCTTAGAGCTCTCTCCTAACCCTCACCACATTAGTGGTCTCTCCAAACCTCGCCTGTCCCTTAGTGGTCTCTCCTCTCCCCCCTAGGTGGTCTCTCCTCTCCCCCCCTCCCCTAGTGGTCTCTCCTTCCCATTCCCGCCCAGGCTGGTCTCTCCTCTCCCCTCCCCTGCTGGTCTCTCCTCTCCCCCAGTGATCTCTCCTGTCTCACTCTCCCTAGTGGTATCTCCGTGGTATCTCCACTCCCTCCTCCTCCCCTAGTGGTCTCTCCTTCCCATTCCGCCCAGGCTGGTCTCTCCTCTCCCTTCCCTGCTGGTCTCTCCTCTCCCCCAGTGGTCTCTCCTGTCCCACTCTTCCCTAGTGGTATCTCCACTCCCTCCTCCTCCCCTAGTGGACTCTCCTCTCCCACCCCTACTGGACTCTCCTCTCCTCCCCCTGTGGACTCTCCCCCCCATCCCTCCTGGTGCTCTCTCCACTCCCTCCACTCCCCAGGTTGTCTCTCCTTCCCCCCTCCTCCATGGTGGTCTCTCCTCCCCCCCTCATGGTCTCTCCTCTTCCCCACCCACCCCAGGTGTTCTCTCCTCCCCCGCTCCTGGTGCTCTCTCATTCCCCCCTCCTGCCCTGGTGGTCTCTCCCTCCCCTCCCCAGATGGGCTCTCCTTCCCTCTCTCCTCCCCCAGGTAGTCTCTCCTTCCCTCCCCTCCCTCCCCAGGTGGTCCTCCTACCTCTCTCTAGTGTAGCGTGGCTGAGCTCCGCTCCGGTCCGCGGTACAGGAGCTCCTGTTTCCTGTACCCGGCCGGACTGAAAGGAAGTGCTCACTGAGTGAGCACTTCCTTTCAGTCTGGCCAGGTACAGGAAACGGATGTTCCTGTACTGCGGACCGTTGCTTGGCAACGGTACACTAAGGGACTAGCAGGAGCAAGCGCTGTGCGCTTCCCTCCTGCTGATAACTCATATCTTGCGCCCCTGGGCCCTCATGGACACACCGGCCTAGGCAGTGCTGCAGCCACCTAAGGCTCTCTATAGAGACACTGGACAGCTGCATGTTGGGGTTTTAATAATTTAATAATTACAGAATTTATCGACCAAAAACACTAAAACAGTCATACCTCTCAAGCGTCATGTATCTGATGGAGTTGGTGTTGGAGGGAAACTATAAGAAAACACATGACATGCGCATAGTCGTCTTTTTGGCCTATTCCTGTTATAAACCAATTATAACCTTTAATAATCACAGACACATGAATGAATTGGCAAAATATTCCACGGCTTTATTAAATATATATAAATAATAAAATATAAATTTAAAAGGTCATTGTCAACAACGCTTGAAAAGACATCCCCCCAATTAACATAACTAAATACCCAGACAATGACCTCCAACATATTTACAGAATACATCCAACTAACAGTATAACATAGCATAAATACCATAAACCTTAACATAGCCACCCAGGGCCTCCATTTCCAATTGTAGGGGCATACCAAGACACCCCTACGCCATTATCATAGCCACCAAGGGCATCCCTTTCCACTGTAGGGGCATACCAAGACACCCCTACACCATTATCCCAGCCACCAAGGGCATCCATTTCCAGTGTAGGGGCATACCGAGACACCCCTACACCCCCAGGTTCGTAGCTACCGCCGAGCTCGAACCTACCACCAAATCTAAAGGTAAGTATTCCTCCTGACCTATCCCACTTACCAAAAACCGACCTACCCCCAATTAACCTAATCCATCCCCCGCCACAGCACAGAGCTTGACCACCTCAAGCCTCCTGTGCGCCCCCACCCCGAATAAACAGGGCCTGTCTAAGACCGTCCTGAAAGCCTAAGTTAAGGAAATCCAAACCCACCTCCGATAAATGAACTCCATCATGCCTGAAGTATCCTGGTAACATATCCTCTAGTTCCCTGTGCCTCACTACTACCCCCCCCAGACCTTTTAATAAAAGTTGCCAACAACTTGTTGAACTTGCGTCTATATCTCGCCATAGCTGCGAAATCCCGCGCATGACGCCACCGGAAACGCGGTACCGTTTCCGACCAAACAATAACCACCCCGGGAAGCAAGGATCTCAACTTATCCACGTCCCTCTTTATCCCACGAACTAATTCCCTTTGCGGCACCAGACCAAAATCATTCCCCCCTGTGTGGAACAATATGAAATCGGGGACTTCCCCTTGCCCTATCTTCCGAAATAACTCCAAACACGTATCTCTCCAACCGAAACCCCGAAAACCAAACCAGAACAACCGTAACACATCAGAAGGAAAGCCGAGCTGCGTGCCTTCTCTCCGAACTGCAGCTCTCCGTTCTGCCCAGTAGACATATGAATGGCCTACTATCCATGCAACTCCACCTGAAATAAAAGAAATAATTCATAACCACAGGACCACCGTAATTGTACCCCATAACATAAATTTGTTTACATTAAAAGATCAGGCCGGACATAGGAATGGAACCTGATCGATTCCCATCTCCCAATCTTTTTAACTAACTCATCCCCTAGGCCTAACCTCACCGCCTCTGTGGCAGCCCCGATCCTGAAGGAGTGGGTGCCAAATTGCGTGGGATCCAGGCCCAGGCGTTCCAAGCCCAACTTAAAGACCCTGTTGAACTGGAATTTCGACAACGCCGAGCCGTCCGCATGGCGAAAAAACGAACCCTGCCCCTTCGGACGGAGCTCCCCATATCGCCGAGCACTGCCCACTGGGCAAGCCTCCACCTGAGGTATTGAAAATAGTTTTATCATACGACCTCTCCCAAAGACATCCGTCTTCGAGCGCCGTAGTCGAATAGCTACCTGTTCCACCCCTACGTCCACGTCCGCGAACTGGAGACCACCTTGTCTAAGCCTGTTGCTACTTACAATCTCACTCACCCGAAAAGCCCCGAAAAACGCCCACACAAACGCCACCTTAAATAGCAAGACCTCGAACAAAGAGAAACATAAACCCGGTAGGGTACCCAATAGTTGTTGAAGCAACCTAAAAGACACCGGCCTCCTAGTGTCAGGTGATAACTTCCCTTTGCGGTAACCCTTCACTGCCTGCCGCACCATAAAGGATTTTGTCGAATCTTCCCACCCACGAAGCTTGAAGAGGAACGCCAATGCTGCCAGGTTCCGGCCGACCACTGCCGGAGAAGCCCCCGCTGCGAACAGCCTGCAAAGAAACCATAATAGCGTATCGAGACGTACCTTTGCGGATACCACGTCCCCCGTACAGCCTAATGCTTCGTCCCACCTTTCCCATACTTTACTATACGCCGCCAACGTGCCCGGAGCCAACGAATCCATTATCAGTCTTCCAAGCAGGAGGTCCCGAGACGCCACATGTGATCCGGACATGGCAGACCCTCCCTTTGTGCGTTCGGAGCCTCCACCTGAAATTTTTCCCACTGAAAGCGAGAAAGTGCATCAGCAATTACGTTCAAGAATCCAGGAACATGACATGCACAAAAAACAATATTCAACTGCATGCAATACAAAACAAACTGGCGAAGCAGCCGCACTACTGGGACCGACGCCGCCGAAAGATTGTTCACAGCCTCCACGACAGCCCCATTGTCCGTAAAGAAAACCACTCTCCTATCACGTAGGGCCTGGCCCCACAAGGAGAGCGCTACCACTAATGGGAACAATTCGAGAAAAGCCAAGATCCGAATCTGTGGGCTGACCGCCCAATGTTCGGGCCATCTTTCGGCACACCAATGACCCGCAAAGTAAGCCCCGAAGCCTACGCTCCCTGACGCATCGGTAAAAAGCTCTAACTCGGGTGATTCGATACACTGCTCCCTAAAAAAGACTCGCCCATTGAAATCCCTCAGGAAGGCCTCCCACACACCCAAATCCTCCTTCATCGGAGCGGTGACCCTGATAAAATGATGAGGTGACCGCACACCCGCCGTGGCTTTGGCGAGGAACCGGTTGAATACCCTTCCTACCGGGATAATGCGACATGCAAAATTCAACCGCCCCAGCAAAGACTGTATAGCCCGCAGTGTCGCCTTCTTTGCCCTACGCAACTCTGAAACGGCATCGCGGAGAGACTCCAACTTATCTTGTGGTAATCTGCATTCCCCCGCGACCGTATCTATTTCAAGCCCCAAAAAACTCAGGCATGTAGTAGGCCCCACGGTTTTGTCGCGAGCCAGAGGTACCCCAAATACCTGACTGACCCATTCGAGACACCGTAGCCTAAAGCGGCAAGTCTCAGAGCCAGCCGGCCCGACACACAAGAAATCGTCCAGGTAATGGACCACAAACTTGGTGCCCGCTTCCTCCCTCACTACCCATTCCATGAACGTGCTAAATTTCTCAAAGTACGCACATGAAATGGAGCATCCCATGGGCAAACACAGATCCACAAAATAGTTTCCATCAAGATAACAACCTAATAAGTGGTGACAGAGATCCCCGTCAATGTCATCATTGACTGATGACCCCTTCGGGTATGACAAATGGTGGATAAGGTGAAATTTTCCCGCCTCCTTCTTTGGCACTACGCCTAAAGGGGAAACCCTAAGATCCGGCAGCGGTGGTTCCCTAAACGGTCCTGCCATCCGCCCCAGGTGAACCTCCTGAAGCAATTTACCACATACCACATCATGATGTTCGCCCACTGAGCGCAAATTACGGAAACGGGGAACCACAACCCGATCCCTGAAGGGAATGATGAAACCCCTAGTAAATCCCTCAAACAATAGACGGGCATCCTCCCGCTTACCGTAGCTGTTTAGCCAAGGGAGCATCGCGTCTACCCTCACCGGAGACCGCCCCAGAGGCAGCGGATGGTGCTGCAGCGCCTCCGGCCGCGCCTGTTGTAGTGGGCTTGCCCTTCTTAAAACACCGGTTGTAACCATGTCCTCCCCCACCGCATCCAGAGCATTCATGCCTAAAGCGGCATGCGGAGCCCCACTTACATTGGCCCTCATTATAGAGCCAGCAACACCCCTTCCTTTGCGCAGCCGACGAGGTGGAAGAGGAACCGACGCCAGCCCCCCCTTGAAAGGGAGCCGCCTTTTGAGCCATCATTAGCTTCATCCATAATGGCAGGTCCATCTGGTCCCACCTCATTCCCGGCTTAGCCGAAAGCCTCTGACGGAACTGTTCATCGTACTCACCTGCACTGCTCCCGGCCCGTTCGGAGACTGGTTTCTCTCCTGACCCCAAACCCGACGACCCCGGCAACCACGCCTTGCTAAACGAAGCCCCCTTATCCAAACCTGGACTCCATGATGCAATGTTTTCAGACCCTCTAACAAATCTCCAGAGTGTGGTGTACTGTGAGACTCACCGACCAAACCCCTTGGTGTCGCTGATCCTGGGGCTGCATCCCGAACTCCGCCGTGAGATGTTCCCGGCGAGGCTGCTGTCAAATCTCTGCTGTCCTGAGGCCTCCTGCGGCCTGCTGACCCGACATCCAATGGCCTGCGAACGAAAGAAGAAAAACTGGGGAGGCCGTCATCAGAACCCCAATCCTCCCTGACCTCACCCATTGGGCCTCTACGTGGACTGCTACTCCTGGCATGCTGGCCCTTACGGCCATATCTATCCCCGGAAAAACTTCTGCTCTGCCTGTCGGGAGAGCCCCCGCTCATTGACCTGGAGGCACTCTCCCGCGAGACTGCTCCCCGAACAGGTGAGCCACGGCAACGACCATCCGCAGACTCCCCGCTGCTACTGCGCTGCCTGCTCCGCCGTTCACTCCTGGAGCGATGGCTAGCTCTCCTGTCCCCCCCACTGTCTCTGCGCCGCTCTGTGGGGCTATCTGTCCTCTCCTGAGCGCGGCAATCCCTGCCCGCCCGCTGATCCGCTGGCCTACAGCGCCCCACCCCTGCACCAGGCCGGGAGGGGGCCATGCCACTGCCTGCTGTGACCCCACCGCCTGTCACCAGCGCCCTATGATCCTTGTTCTGGCCCGTTGCCCGTGACTGCTGCGCTGCGGGGAGGGGCGCTTGCGGCCTGGCCCTAGCCTGCAACCTGTTGTGTATTCTTGGTGCTTCCCTACCTACCCTGGAATAGGCTGTAGGTGCCGACTGTCCCCTGCTGTCCAAGCCCCTGCTGGCTGCCCCATCCTCAGCGGAACCTGACTGGGTTGCAAGGGCCTCATTTACCAACCCCTGTTTCTGCCCCCTTTTTGCCCTAACTGCCCCAGGGGACGACTCACCGCGGTTACTCCGTCCAGCTGCCTGCTCCGTGCTCCTAGCAGAGCCTGCTGCTTGTAACAGGTCTGCTGCCTCTGCTGATACTGCGCTCCTCACCGCCGCCGGGCGGCGCGGCGCCATCTTCTCCTGACCGCACACCTCAGACTCTGCCTGACGGCCGTGGTGTGTGGTCGCCCCCGGGCCGCCACCTCCGCGAATCCTAGCCCGGCCGCCACTTCTCCTGGTGCAGGTTCCTGTCATGCCTGCTGACGGGCTGCGGCTCCTAACCGCGCCAGCACCGGCATCAGGGCTTAAGCGTTGTGGAGGCCTGGTCCGGCGCGCTGTCCTGCGCGCCGGCGCCGTCGACGGCCCTGCCGCGCTCAGTGCTGCCCCCAACTGCTGCTCCATCCAAGCTGCTCCATGCTGTCGGACCGCTGCCTTCACACCCTCCAGGATTGCTGTCATATCACTCTCAGCCACGGAATCCATCTGAAAAACAAAGAAGAAAAAATCCCCACCAGAAGCCAGCAACAGCTAACAACAGGTAAAGATTTCAAATTAAAATGGAACCCAAATTTAAAATGGCGAATTATTATATGTCTAAGCCACTCCCCCTTTTACCCACTAACCAATCCAGACACACTCATCCATAGGCCAGCCTCCTAGCTCTGTCAAGGCCCATTCCACCTAGCTTTGCTATTCCATGGGCTTCATATTCTATGCTAATCTCTCTCTAATTTATGCTTTCATCTTTCAAGTAAATCCATAACCCCTAACAGCAGTGTCCAGTGAAGAAGGAAGTCAATGGGTGGGGTAAAATGGTGGGCCACTGACGCGAATCACATGACCAGAACTGCCAAAAGGGGCGAACATGCCCAAAAAGGGGGCATGTCTGTCCAAAGAATTGGAAGGCCAGCCTGGCATCAGTGTCCCTATATATCACAGTGTCAGTGTCCCCATGTCGCCCAGTCCCCTAGTTTCCCAGTGTCTGTGTCCCTATTTCTCCCAGTGTCCCTATGTCTCAGTGTGTCCCATGACACAGTGAGACATGGGGGCACTTGTGGATACAGACATGGGGACACTGAGAGACATGGGGACACTGAGACAATTGGGTCCCCACGTCTCCCAGTGTCCCCTAGTGTCTCAGTGTCCCCATGTCTCCCTGCTGCCTTTCCCCCCATCCTTCATATACCTGTCTCTGTCTCTGCAGGCTGGGAGCTGCTGTCTGGACTCTCTGTGCTGTGTAGCTGCTCCCCCGCGGATCAGTGAGTAGAGAGAGGCAGGGAGATGCTGTAAATTCCTATCCCTGCCTCTCTCCATACACAGTGACCCATACTGGCCGGTGCTGGTATTGCAGAGTAATCTCCGTTTATACTGAAAAAAATATTTGCATTTGTATTGCTAGTATTACTGAAATACCGTAACGGCCAGGCAGCCTCAAATATCGGCTGTGCCTTAAAATACCAGTCAGGTGGCAAACCTAAGTGTAGTGTGTAAAAAAATAAATTAAAAAAAGTGAAGGGGGAAAAAAAAACACCTTTTTTTTAAAAAAATGGGCCTATTCCATGGGCCTGGGCCTGGGCCTGAAGCTGCAGCTCCATCAGCCCCTATGTTAATCCTGCCCTGGGTTAGGCCTATGCTAACAATTCACCTTGTTGCTTTCAGGTTTAAAGGAAATACACTTTAATGGCCATTGCAGTAGTACTAAAAATTATGTTATTTAAATGTGTGTAGGGATCTGGGATAGTGTGTAGGGAACTGGGATAGGTAACCTTTTAATGGTAATGTTTATATGAACTTGGCTGTATTGTTTAAACGAAAACATTATTTTAGAAAGGAGAGCATCCAAAGAAGCAGGTCTATCCTAGCTAGAACAGGATTGCTGCAAAAATTATGGCCTTGATTAAAAATGTTGGATAAGGTTTCAAAATGATTTCATATTTCTGGATAAACTTTTAAAATTATATATATTTCAAAATATCACAAAATATATCATATATATCAATGAATATCAAAATATTACAAAATTAAAATGTTTGTGACGCTATTAAGTCATTTTAAAAGTGTATCCGAATATATTCAATTATTTTGAAAGTGTATTTAACAATATTAAATCAAGCTCTATTTGTCATAGTGGAGGAGCACTCCGCTTCTCCTACGTACAGTATTCCTAATCATGATGGAGAGGTGCAGGAAGTAAGAATGAAATGTGAGTGGGTGTTACTCTAGACCAGGGTTAGGCAACCTTCGGCACTCCAGATTGTGTGGACTACATCTCCTCTGATGCTTTGCCATTATGAGCATTATAGGGCCGCAGGTTGCCTAAACCTGGTCTAGACTAGACTAATGTATCATCCACTAATCCATAATTAGCAGCACTGGAGATGGTATAAGTATTTAATACTGCCTGAAGCAATAACTTCAAAAGGCATTGGAAATTAAGGGTCTGACAAAGTGCATTTTCTCCTTTTTCTGGTACTTAGATGAACGTATAAGAGAGGACACTGTATTGGTTTTCTAGCACCTGATCTCACAAGATATATAACAACACGCCACTCAAGAGAGGATTGGCAAGGGGTGCAATTGTCCCCTGGGTCACTAGCACACAGGAGGTGTGCACTACTGCTTCACAGCATTCTCTTGTGGCTTCAAATAGCAATAGGTGCATTAGAATGTCTGTCGGCAGAGTACTGCAAGAGCGAGGAACGGTGGCTTTGTTAGCCTTTAACCTAGCACTGTGTGGG